AGGTTGGAAACAAAAAGGTTCAGGAACTGCAAATATTTATATTGATAATGAAATGGTTGGAACTGCAGATTTTAATATTGATGAAGAAGAAAGTAAATCAGATATTGTGTTTACATCACGTGATCTTCCTTATGGAGAGCATTTTATTGAAATAGAGCATAATGATGAACAAGAAAATAAATTGATTACTTTTGGTGGAATTTATGTTGATCCTCTACCTAAACAAGGTGGTTTTACTCTTGAATTTAATGATGCTTTTGATTATTCTGAATTTTGGATTCATGATACAACTACTACGCCTCATTTGTTTTATAATAATGAACAAGGCGCTTATATTACTTTCCGCTTCTTTGGAACAAGATTCTGGTTAACTGGCGTCAGAGGAAATGATGTTGGTTCATTCCAGTTAACTCTTGATGATGATGATCCTGTTTTGGTTTGGGAAATTCAAGATGCAGAAATAGCACAAAACAATAAACTTGTTTTGCTATATTAATCTTATGAACTTGAATATAAAGAGCATGAAGTTAAAATTTCTCGAACTGATTATAAACTTTCATTTGTTAATTTGATGTATACTACATATCCATATACTTTATTCCCACCTAGAACTCAAACACCAGAACAATCATCATATCAAACATTTGATGAATCATCTGATCAAACAATTGATGATTCTTCTAATGAAATTCAAGATGAATCATCTGATCAAACAATTGATGATTCTTCTAATGAAATTCAAGATAAATCATCTGATCAAACAATTGATGATTCTTCTAATGCAATTCAAGATGAATCATCTGATCAAACAATTGATGAATCTTCTAATGAAAATCAAGATAAATCATCTGATCAAATAATTGATGAATCTTCTAATGAAAATCAAGATAAATCATCTGATATGATTTCTTTTTCATTAGACACTGATACTGATACTAATATTATTATTACACCAGGACCAATAGAATCGACTCCTTCTGATTCATCTGACATTATAACAATTGATGTAAATAGAACAGAATCCGACATCAATAAACGTTTTGAGACTGAAATAACCAATTCAACAATTTGTATTGTTAAAATCAAAGATACAAACTTTTCAAGTATCAATCACAACAATAATGGTGGTGCTGTTTGCATTGTTAATTCTGGTTTACAATGTAATAAAATTGCTTTTACTGATTGTAGCACGAAAGAAGCAGGAGGAGCAATTTACATCAAGAATGTTAATGAAGAAAGTAATTCAATTGAATTCAATGATATTACATTTTCAAATTGCACAGCTAAATTTGGTGGTGCCCTTTATGTTCATTCAACATCGCCTAAAGTACCTGTAAAAATTGAAAAATGTAAATTTGAAGGAAATCTAGCCACATCTATTGATGACAGTAGCAATTATCAAAATGGAGGGAATTCTATTTTCTTAACAATTAAAAGAGGTTTAATAAGATTAAACACATTTATTGATAAAAGTAATAATGATTGTAACACAATGAGCATTTATAATAGTTTTGATTCAAATAATTTGAATCTTCTCGATAATAACAAAGATTCAAATTTGATAACTATTTCTGATTGCACTTTTGAAATGCCACAAGTTTCATCTTGTTGCATATTTTACACAGGTGGTGTGGAAGGATCTTATTATGAAATTCAGCAATGCTCATTTATTGGAAATTTGTCATCCGGTGCTCATTTTATTGATGGCGAAATGATTTCAGAAGATTGTCCAAAACTTGTCGTAAAGAAATGCAAGTTTACTTGCAATTCTAATGAAGGTTTCGACTTTGATAAGAACTTTGTATCTGTGGATTTGAATGATCAAACTTTCAATGATAGCAATGATGAGCCTTCATCATCAAATAGTAATGATAAATGGAAGACTATAGTTGCAATTGCTGTTCCTGTTGTAGCAATAGTTATCATTGTTATTGTCGTTATTTTTGTGGTTATCAAAAAGAAGAGAAATAATACGAGTTCTCAAGATATGATGATTCTTGAAACCGATATTGATCCTAAAGATTTTGATATTTAATTTCATTAAAAAATTAAATATTCTTGATTTTAATTGTGTTTTATATTTATTCTTTTTAAAATTTTCAATTTATTGATCATATGTGTTTATTGGCATAGCTGACTATTATCATTTAACATAGCAAGCATTTGTCTTGTTATGTATACTAAACAAATAATTATGGTCAATGTGTCTATCATTATTTGTAAAAAAAAAATCAAAAAAGTTAAGGGGCAAAAATGTTAAAAAATTTTGTGGTTACATTTTTCATTACGGAAGTGGATTTTTTCATTTAAAAAATGGAACAACTGTATCAATATATCTATCGAATTTCTAGAATATATATGTAATTAAAATCAAAGTTTAATCATTGTATACACTAATCAACAATGTTTGTTAATCATTTGTTATAATTATTAAAATTAAAATCAATCACAATATTTTCAATAGGTATTCTTTAAAAATAAAAAATTGTTGAATAAAATTGATACTGAATTTTTGTTTATTCACTAAAAGACAATATATGATACATCAACCCCCCCCCCAAAAAAAAAAAAAAAAAAAAAAAAAAAAAAAAGGTATCTTTTTAAATTGATTCAAAACCAACTACTTCTGAACTTGAATTATCGTTTTGTTTTCTTTTCTCTGCTTCAAATTGCTCACATTCTTTTTGTTGATTTATATTGTCTTGTTTATTTGGAATATCTGTTTTGTTTGCTTCTTCATTATTGGTAATTTGCTTCTCTTCTTTGGTTTCGTTTTTGTTGGTGATCTCATTACTAGAGTCAGCACGATTATAATATTCGATTTCATTTTCTTCATCAATACAATCATAATCACTGTAACTTGCATCATCATCATCATATCATCTAATCTATGGCTATTAACTGAAACAGGTAAATGTGATGCTACTAAAACATCATAATCGGTGTTTCGTAAAACTTCTTTGATATCATGGATTGCAAATCCATATTCGGCAATTTTATAAACTCTTTCTTCAAAATCATAGGGAATACTATTCATAACTCTTGTGTAATCATCATAAGTGTCTGAATATTGCCAATCTCCATCACTTTGTAATCTATTCAAAAAAGAATTTGGAGGAACTATCAAAGATTGCTCGAATATTTGATTAAAATACAACTTTTCTGTAATATCATCGGTTTTGTTTGATTCTAGCTGCGATATGTTTTGTTTGTTTTTTTCACCAAATAGATTTTTCATGAATATTACATAATCAGGATTTTCTTTTAAAATATCAGACATACTTTGGGCATCTTGATAAAAATTTATATCGCCTGCATTTGACATTAGAAATATCTGATTATCATTAATTCCTGTTTTTTCTGATAACAATTTGCACGCATCTGCAACGGTTGCATTTTCTGGTAATGATATATTATATGATTGTCCACATACATCTCTGAAACTCGCCATCATTTTAATGTAATTTTTTAGAGAATGAAATCATTCTACCAAAATAAATTATAACTAACTTTTTCAAGAGTTATTTGTTTTTAGAAAAAATAATCAGCCTTTCTGAATTATATATTCTCAATTTTTTTGAATATCAATTCAGAATAAACTTTCATCTGAAATTCTATCATATGTGTTTCCACGGCAATAATTTTTTATTAAGTTTTGAATATTATCTTTCATTATAAACATCATAACTAAAATAAGTTAGAATGTTTCATTTGATGAAGTTTTTGGACAAAGCAGCTTTATTTTTTAAAACTCAATGGTTTATTGATTTTTCAATTCAATTTTTAAATTTTTTAAATAATGCCTTTTGCTCAATCATCAGAATGGTTTCAGCGTCTTTTTGGCTTTGAAGAGGAGCCATTGCAACTTAATCAGCAATTAAAAGCAGTTGAAGATGAAAATGGAATGATGTACATTGAAGCAATTGATGGTTCTCGACGACATATAGCTTGTAAATTTGAAATTCGTCATCTTTCCTCTTTTGCCAGTCTTACAGAAGTTGGAGGTGGTACTTTGAATCTTCTTATTGGGACCGGTGAGTATGGTCCTGCAGATATAATGAATATTGAATCGAATCCAGAAAATGATGGCGCCACCATAGAAATTGCATCCATTTTCAATTGTCTTGGTCACATTCCGTCAGATCCCAAGTGCAGGCCTCCACTTGGCAATTCTAGTGATTACATTACCTACTATGTCCAAGCACCGCCCGCTGATGTAGCCCGTGGCCCAGCCCTTATTTACAGGCAATATTTTGTTCCTCTTCCAGATGGAAAAATTGGCCAACTTGAAGAGAATCTCAATTTAATTGAATCAACACCAATTGAAGTAAATGACGGTTACACCATAAAAGTGCCAACCACCGAATTCTGAACATTACCCAATCGGTCTTCATTCGCAGGCTGCCGCCACTTTAGGCCGTCAAGATGAAAAATTTGTCATGATCGAGAATCAGATCGTTCACCAAGTTTTCGGCTCAGCAGTCGCGTTCAGCATTGTGAGAAGGAATCCCGAAAACCAAAAAATAGCTGCAAAAAATACTTGAGGTTGAGTATGGAGAAACAATCAAGGCTGCTTGGGAATGTTCAAAGAAACTTTTTCTGACACTTATCGGCGGAGGCGTTTTTAATAACCCGATTTCGTCGATTGTAAAGGCTGTCGAGAAATGTGAAGATATTATTAAAAAAAGTGGACTTGAGGTCCGAATCTCGCTATTTAATTCTGCAGCTGCAATGAAGTTTTCTGAGCCTTTTCTCCCAATTATTGAAAGAATTGGAGGGAAAATAATCAACTGTAATGTCTAATCAACAAATAAATGCTTATTAATTATATGTTATGGTTAATTATTGAATTTGTTTTTTTAAATTGTGTTATATCGATTTTCATTTATTACAAATGATATCAGAAATCACAAGAATTCACGTAATTTTCATTCATTACTTGATTTTGCATGCTAATTTGTGATAGGATTTTGAAATGTTTTTAAAAAAAACTTAAAAAACGGGGCAACTGGGACTCGAACCCAGATCTCAAGGGGGACAGCCGAGTATCCTGCCAATTGGACTATTGCCTCTTTCTGTTACTATTCTAGTGTTCACCTATTTATTTTATAACAGATAAGAATTAATGGATATTTTTTAATCTTTTTTAATAATATGAATTTATTTCTTTGATGATAGATGCAATTGTTTTTTAACATTTGTTGAAAAACGTATTGCATTATAAATGATAGTTTTTTTCTTTCCACTTTGGTATAAAATGCGACAAGGTTATTTAAAGTAATATTTATTCAATGAACAAAATGGAAATAATGCTTTATTATTTAATGATTTACATGTAAATGAATAAACAAAAGAGCATTAATTGTATATAATATTTCATTTTTTATTTATAAATTTTATTTATAACTAAAAACAGAAGGAAAGTTTCATGCTTTAAAAAGGTCAGAATAATTAAAAAGATAAATAAAAACCAAAATAAGGCTATTTGTATAAAGATTAAATTGAATAAAATTTTGTTAAAGTTATTCAAATATTGAATGAGTAAAAACACTTATATTCAATTTTTTTTAGATAAATGCTTTTATCAATTGAATTTTCTGAGATGCATTCAAAATTCTTTTAAAAAAAGGATAATTTACAGAAAAAGCTGCCTTATCGTTATAAAACAAATTTATTGATGTTTATTTTTTTAAAATGTCGAATAATAATAATCAATTGGATCCACATGAAGATCCAAATGCTATTCATGAACATATACATTTAGAAGGTGATTCGAATCATACTAAAAAAAAGATACGAGAAATTAAAATTGAAGAATTCCCAGATAAATACGCAAATACATCCCCACTTGGTTTTCTTGGATTTGGTATGACTACCATTATACTTGGTTTTGCAAACGTCACTCTTTATAATCCAAATTCAGTCGTTATTGGTATGGCAATATTTTATGGAGGAATTGCACAATTTACATCAGGAGTTTTTGAGTTTAAGAAAGGACATACATTTTCAGGCTGCGCTTTTATTTCCTATGGGTCATTTTGGTTTGCATATGTAATGGTATTAGTTGGACCTAAATTGTTAGGCTGTGAACCATCAGATAAAAATGCAATTGGAGTTTTTCTATTGTTTTGGTGCGTTTTTACGGCAGTTATGTTTATTGGAACACTTAAACATGGTCATACAACTCTAAAAATTGTATTTCTCACTCTTGCTCTTACATTCTTGCTTCTTTCAATTGGTTCTTTCGCAAGCTGTAAAGCAGTAACAATAGTAGGAGGTGGTGTTGGACTCTTCTGTGGTAGTGTTGCATTATATGCTGCATTAGGTGATATTGTTGATGGAGAACAAGGATATACCTTCATACCAATTTAAATACAATTATGATGTTAACATTTTTACTCTGTCATAAACTTAGAATTTTATTTGATTTTTTTTCTTTTTGATTTAAATCATTTTTGTCAATGAAACTGATTAAATAAAACTGATAAAAATATGTTGTGAGGCATCAATAGTGTCCATTATTCTATAATATAGATTATCAATTTATTAATTGTTATATATATATATATATATACTTTTTCTATCATATGATAATTCAATTTTTATTTATTTTTAATTGATATAAAAATTAAATAATTAGACATACTATTTTTAATAGTTTTTTAAAAAAATATAATTCTTTTCAATTGTTCACTTTTTGAAGGCTGCCACTCCATTAAAATAAAAAAAACGAATATGACAAAAAAATTCTGAGAAATTAATTTTTTATTTATTTTCATATTATATTTGCTTTTCTAATGCTAGTGATTTGGGAATCTACATCAAAGTGTCTTATATAAGCTTCTCTTTTCCATCAACAATGTTTTTTTTTCCTCGACGTAACAAATGCCAAGAATAATGGCTATGATCAAATCCAATTTACTCAACAGTTGCTTTTAAAGGGTTTCAAAGTGTATCTCCTGAAGTTTCGACAATTAAATTTGAAAATAAATAAAAAACTAATTTCTCAGAATTTTTTTTGACATATCCGTTTTTTAATATTTTAATTGAAAAAGTAGCTTCTAATCTACAGCAAATGAAGAGGCGCATTCAAAAAGTGAAATTGAAAAGAATTCCAGTTTGTGGAACCTACTTTTTGAGCGAAGCTGGAATTCTTTTCAATTTCACTTTTTGAATGCACCTCCTCCTGATTCATGAAAAAAAAAAAATCAAATAAAATTCTAAGTTTATGACAGAGTAAAAATGTTAACATCATAATTGTATTTAAATTGGTATGAAGGTATATCCTTGTTCTCCATCAACAATATCACCTAATGCAGCATATAATGCAACACTACCACAGAAGAGTCCAACACCACCTCCTACTATTGTTACTGCTTTACAGCTTGCGAAAGAACCAATTGAAAGAAGCAAGAATGTAAGAGCAAGAGTGAGAAATACAATTTTTAGAGTTGTATGACCATGTTTAAGTGTTCCAATAAACATAACTGCCGTAAAAACGCACCAAAACAATAGAAAAACTCCAATTGCATTTTTATCTGATGGTTCACAGCCTAACAATTTAGGTCCAACTAATACCATTACATATGCAAACCAAAATGACCCATAGGAAATAAAAGCGCAGCCTGAAAATGTATGTCCTTTCTTAAACTCAAAAACTCCTGATGTAAATTGTGCAATTCCTCCATAAAATATTGCCATACCAATAACGACTGAATTTGGATTATAAAGAGTGACGTTTGCAAAACCAAGTATAATGGTAGTCATACCAAATCCAAGAAAACCAAGTGGGGATGTATTTGCGTATTTATCTGGGAATTCTTCAATTTTAATTTCTTGTATCTTTTTTTTAGTATGATTCGAATCACCTTCTAAATGTATATGTTCATGAATAGCATTTGGATCTTCATGTGGATCCAATTGATTATTATTATTCGACATTTTAAAAAAATAAACATCAATAAATTTGTTTTATAACGATAAGGTAGCTTTTTCTGTAAATTATCCTTTTTTTAAAAGAATTTTGAATGCATCTCAGAAAATTCAATTGATAAAAGCATTTATCTAAAAAAAATTGAACATAAGAGTTTTTACTCATTCAATATTTGAATAACATTAACAAAATTTTATTCAATTTAATCTTTATACAAATCCTTCGTTTGATGATCGGATTAATAATTCAATTGGATCAAATTCTTCTTTAATATGATCATTGTATAAATACATGTGAGCAAGGTTGTACATCGCGATTTTATCTTTCTTTTGGTTGATTGCTTCTTTGAAATATTCATTAGCTAATCCAAGATTAGGCTTAATTTCTTCTCCAAAGCCGTATTTATAAATGATTCCAAGGTTGTTCTTCGAGTATTCATTATTAAAAGATGATGCGTTTTTATAATATTTGATTGCTTTTATCATATTTTTTTCAAGATATTTGCCTTCATGAAGCAAATATCCCACTGCAAAAGATGCCTGTTTATTACCTCTAAATGCAGATTGACATATATTTAAAACACCTTTTTTGATATCCTTCTTTAAAAAATAGCCGAACAAAAGCAACTCTCCTACATAATTGTGCTTGTGGATGATTATGATCAGCAGTGAGTGATAAATAATGAATGGCTTTGCTTGTATCATATGGAACATATTCACCTTCAGCATATATCTTACTAAGATTAAATAGAGCTTGTGGATAATTTTGATTAGCAGTAAGTGAATAATAACGAATTGCTTTGTTTATATCACGTGAAATATATTCACCTGTAGTATATATTACACCAAGATTATATTGTGCTTGTGGAATATTTTGATTTGCAGCAAGTGAATAATAACGAATTGCTTTGTTTATATCACGTGAAATATATTCTCCTTTAGCATATATAAAACCAAGATTTAATTGTGCTTCTGGATGATTTTGATTTGCAGCAAGTGAATAATAATGAATTGCTTTATTTATATCACGTGAAATATATTTACCTGCAGCATATATTGCACCAAGATTATATTGTGCTTGTGGAATATTTTGATTAGCAGCAAGTGAATAAAAATGAATTGCTTTGTTTATATCACGTGAAATATATTTACCTGCAGCATATATTGCACCAAGATTATATTGTGCTTGTGGAATATTTTGATTAGCAGCAAGCGATAAATAATAAATTGATTTGTTTATATCACGTGAAATATATTCTCCTTTAAAATATATTTTACCAAGATTAAATTGTGCTTCTCGATGATTTTGATTTGCCGCAAGCGATAAATAATGAATTGATTTGTTTATATCACGTGAAATATATTCTCCTTTAAAATATATTGCACCAAGATTATATTGTGCTTCTGGATAATTTTGATTTGCAGCAAGTGAAAAATAATGAATTGCTTTGTTTATATAGCGTGAAATAAATTCATCTGTAGCATATATAAAGCCAAGATCAAATTGTGCTTGTCGATGATTTTGATTTGCAGCGAGTGAATAATAATGAATTGCTTTGTTTATATCACGTGAAATATATTCTCCTTTAAAATATATTCCACCAAGATTGTATTGCGCTTCTGGATGATTTTGATTTGCAGCAAGTGAATAATAATAAATTGATTTACTTATATCACGTGAAATATATTCACATGCAGCATATATAAAACCAAGATTATATTGTGCTTCTGGAATATTTTGATTTGCAGCAAGCGATAAATAATGAATTGCTTTGTTTATATCACGTGAAACATATTCTCCTATAAAATATATTCCACCAAGATTATATTGTGCTTGTGGATGATTTTGATTAGCAGCAAGTGAATAATAATGAATCGCTTTTTTCATATCACGTGAAACATATTTTCCTTCATCATAATTTACACCAAGAGCAAAATGCAAAATAGCATCGTTATTATAATTGATGATGATGTTATTGGCATGTAAATCACGTCATATGAGTCCTTTTTCGTGAATGGACTGAACTGTATGTAAAATCTCCAAAATCATGTCGTATCTTTGTTTAATTGTGAGTTCTTTTGTATCATATTTATTCAATGTTTCACCTTCAACATATTCTAGAAGAAGACTTTTTTTTAG